CAGGGCTAGAGTAATTCTTATGAGAAAAAACCAGGATTTGGGAGAAAGCCTGAACCTCCTCCTTCTGCACCCCTCATTTTCTGTCCTCTTTTCTCCCAACTCTCCACAATTATATCTAAACCTCACCATGAGCTTCCGTGGTGAAGTATATATAATTCAGATACATCCTCTTCCAAATACTGAGTCTATTTTCTCTATATTTGGTTCACCATGTGGTAGGAATGACCAAAATCTACAGAGGAGGAAGCTTGCCAGAAACAGGCCAGAGCCACTCAGCTAGCGAACACTGGAAGCAGGGCTTGCACAGGTCCACACCTCCAAGTCAGGTGCTTCTTGCCCTGCACATTCTACAGCTTCCTCTTTCTAAGTGGAGCTTGGCTTCCAGTTAGACCAGGGCTGCATGAGGACATCTTCAGAACTACAACGTTCAGGAACTTTACGAAAGACTCTGATAGAAGTGACGAGTCATTCTGAGCTTCCTGGCCTGCCCCATGGGAGAGGACCAAATGAGCTGCCACTCCTCTGCTCCTGGTCACCATGTTCTTGCCTTTCAAAGACAGAGCTGCTCCCTTCCTGATGGCAGTGTGGCCCAAGCACTGGGTTATTCTGTCTGGGATGTTACCCTCTCCCAGCATGCCTTCCCTAGAGGTCTGGGAGCTGGACCGGTTACTGCCTTCTCTCATCCGGGATGGCTCCTTCGTTACTGTGCCCTTTCGCTGCTATACACAACACTGTGGGGAGGGGTTTGGCCTCAAAGGCAAGGAATCAGAAGGCCACCTACAAAGTCATGGTGCGGGGATCAGGAGGCTGCCACTGTCACTGCTGCACCCCCTACTTCCATAAATACCTCTCAGCATCCATGAATCCGGTGACCAAACACTGCCATGCTGTTGCAGTAGGGAACCCACTGCCCACCCCAACTGTTCCTGCCTCAAGTGTCTCTGACCTTGCTAGGCAGTAGAAAACATCAAAGAGCAGGAAGGGAGCTTCATCTCACGTTCACTTTCCAGATCTTTCTAATTCGTCTATTGGCAGAATATAATTCATGGCTAGACCCTTGGCTGAAAGAAGGCCTGAGAAACGTGGCTTTACATGTTCTGGCCACTGCAGTCCAAGGAGGAGTCGAAGATGCTAAGCGCCAAACCACCATATCTACCATATATGGGGAGACGAAAATATTGAATTCTTTTAAATAATCAATATTCCAAAGATTTTCAACTATTTCTAATATTTATTTAATGAAATTCAACAAAAATCATGTCTGTGAAGATTATGGGCATATTCACATTTGCTAAGAATTCTCCTAACCATCAAAAGGCAACTTCTTTCCACTGGTTTTGCTATTGCAAAGTTCGGAGGGTTTCTCATCCATTAGGAGGCGCATGTGTGTGTGTGTACATATATATATATAACATATCTTATACATATGTATTATATATAATATAGGTATACATATAATATACATACATATATAATACAGGTGTACATATGTAGATAGATGTATATATGTATACATAGGTGTATATATCATATATATAATAGGTATATATTAAATATGTATAAAATGTATAGATATGTGTATATATGTA